AGTCAGCTGATCTCACCTCAGACTCTGTGTTAAGTAACTTTACTGATCCAATGGTCTCCTAATGGATCTGTGCTTGAAGTGGGGACATTTCACAAATGCTCTTGATAATTAGATATTATGCCACTCAGTTATTGATGTTCGTGTCATATCAGACGTCTGTTTGAGAAATATGAAAATGGGTTAGACAAGCCTAATGTGGTCTCAATCAAATTAGCTGCCATATACTGGCTTTCCCTTTACTTCCATCCATCTTTCCAGCTCCTTACTTTGCTGAGGAATGAAATATCAGTGGCATCTTCCTCGTATTGATCTGCAGTGATAAGTAGCCCTTTCTCTCCTCCATTAGCATTATAGAAATTTTAATAAAAAGTGTGCGTATGTGTGCTTGAAGATATACTTGAGGTAAAGCTATTGATCATTATTATTGTATATATTGCATTGATCCTCAGATCAGTGGAGCTGGGGAACTCCATTCAATACTGTTGTTGTGTCCTTGGGCAAGTCCACAGTATTGATGTATAACATATCCAATATACAGTATGTAATATAATGCAATGTTACCGCTTTCAAATAAATGCTATGAATTATTATTGTTATTATATGAGGCAACTAAGGTTGGAGGCATTATCAAGAGTGAGACTCCAGGTCTCTTAAAGATAGTGATAGTGTGGCGGCCAAAAGGCATTTCATGTTATTGTCTTCTTTTTTATTGAGCTGAATTAAGCGACAGGTTGACAGCCAGACAAAGATAAAGTCCTGATTTAAATAACTGAGATTCAGCTGACTTCACTCAGCTTAAAGACTCTCTGCCTCCGCTTTGTTCTCTGGGCTTGTAATGGCTGATTTCATTACTTGTTTATTTATTTTTATTAATGTGGAAATGCACATTAGATCAGTCTCTCACGAGTAGCAATAGAAATAGCAAGAACATTATTACCAGTATGAAGAATGTTTTGGAATAATTTAAGAGACAAAAAACCAACGAGGAATTATCTTGTAAAGTTATCATACCATACAATGAGTGAATCGGTTTTAAGATATTTTTAAGGTAAGATAAATAATGATGGACCACGAAGGTAATGGTCTTTGGGGTGTTCAAAAGTGATGTGCTTTTTTAAGTGGCAGCTAAATGAATTGCGTGTGAGTGTCTTCAAAGGTGTGTCCTTCCCGGATGGGGAATTTTCTGAGGTTATATAAGGACTTAATTAAGAACTGGCTTTGTTGTTGAAAGGTTTGCAGTTCAAGGTGTTGTCTGATGTTATTCATCATCATCATCATCCATTGTTGCATCTTGTTTGTGTGTGTGTGTGTGTGTGTTTTTCTAAAGATACATGGTTATTTCCATTTATGCTTCCTAATTTGAGATCCTGTCATGCGACGTGTTTGTATTCCTCACCTGGTTTCCGGCTGTGGAAAGATGAGGCTCAAAGTAATACAATATTTGCTCAGTAAAAAAGATCACATCAACAGTGTAGTTCAAGGTCGATGTATTCAATATAGGATGTGGATACCTTTTTTACATTATAATACTTAACAAATGCTTTGTAATAATCCAGAGCAAATGTTCACACAGACACTCATTGAACCTGCAAAGGGTTGCCATTGCTTGTCTCCTTCTTCTTTTAGGTGCATTTTCTCAAATTTCTCAAACTCAAAAACAACAGTTTATTAATGTTGCTTTGTACTTAACCCTGTACTGCAACTACATCCTAATGTAAAGAGGTAGTGTTTGGTTCAGTTTGTTTAGTTTACTTTATCACTTTATTTGACAGGGACAATGCATTATTACTGTGATAACATTTCTGAAATACACCAGAGTTTGCAAGAAAGGCGATTTCCAATCTGTTGTCCCTTGGCCGGCAATAGTTAAAAACACAGGCAATAAAAAGATAAATATGTTGACGGATATAAGCAATGAAAAAATATCCAAATACACACAAGACACAAGAACATCTAATAAAAAATGATCCACCTCACTCATACATTAGGATGTTACTTGCACCCCCTAGTGGATGACAGAGCAAATCCATTGAGAAATCACTGGTTTATTGGTCATCTTATGGCATCTTTCTAAATGAAGTTCACAGTTCTCTCTACATCTCCGTCTTTAACTCGTATCCGTGTGTGTGTCTGTGCAGGTCTTCCAGAGCAGTACTACAGTCTGACGTGGTTCCTCAGCCCGGTCCTCGGCCTCATTTTCACGCCGCTGATCGGCTCTGCCAGCGACCGCTGCACTCTGCGATGGGGCCGCCGGAGACCCTTCATCCTGGTCCTCTGCATCGGGACGCTGTTAGGAGTGGCACTCTTTCTGAATGGATCGCTGATAGGTGAGTGTGTTCACTCACTTTTTTATTCCGTGTTTAATGGGAACTTAAATAAAAAGTGTGTGTATCAGGGACGAAGTGAAAACGATGCAAGCTTTTTTCATTTGACATGACACACAACTGTCAGTGCATCCCAAAATGAATGTGTTTGAGCCTAACCTTGTTACAATCGGCAATGACCACAACTTGAAGCCTAGGTGCGTTTCAGTTTCAAGCAACTCTTTGAAAACACTCATAATTTCACTCTTACACCATGAGGCTATTAAAGCTGATCTTGGGGAATTAAACTGTTTTTGCAATGATGCTCATTTGCATAGAAAAGGGCCAATTCTGCAGCAGGTGTATGCATAAGTACCTCATTCAAACACTTGTAAACAGCACAGGAGTACCTGGAGATGCAGCAGTTAAAGGTGCATGTTGCTCTTTGCTGGTCTTTTGATACATGTTTTTTTTGTTCATCTAATTTGAACAGCAGCAGTGAAATCTTGCTTTTGTGAATTTGTCTGTTATGAGTTTAACCCTCGTAAAAAGATAGCTGATACCCTCAGTCTGCCCCTCAGCTTGTAACGTCATCAAAGTAATTTCAAGGACACATTCAGCCGATCCAATCAATCAAATTGACCAGTTGTCAATCATGCCACACAGATATTGATCCCCGGGTCAGCTACATCAGCATAGTTCCCGTTGTAACGTCATTACCATATATTTGTAAACACATGTAAACATACACACACATACACACAGCGACTACAGAAGTGTGAGGTGTGTGTCATCAGCGTGCAGTGAATATATTGATGCTGCAACACGTTTTAACTGATTGGTGTTGCAGCTATTTCTATACCTCATGCCTTTATCATCTCACCAAAGCTTATCGATGTCATTCTAATTCAAGCCTATGTAGGTAGTTTGGATGCATTCTCTGCTGGTAGTATGGCAACAAATATCTTGTTACTGAACTCAAGCAAAATAAAATCAACCATGTGAAACAATGTAGTATACATTATAATTGATGAATTGGTGTTCAGTACTCTTTAGCTCAATTATCACAGCCCACGTGGTCTGAATTGTAGGGATGCACAATTGATTTATCTATGGTTGATATAGTGAATAGAATTATAAGTTAGATTTGAGGTAATAATTACGTCTTTTAATGAGGAGCCCTTACAAAGCACAATACATAGCAGAATTAATGTACATGATGACAAATATGATCATAGCTGCATGCTGTCAAAATTGACTCTTCAATGTTAACAAGAATTGTTTTACACAGATTATAGGAAGTGTTATGTCACCGCTTAGTATTGTCGATTGTTATTGGACTTAAATTACCTTAACGGTGTATCCAACGCACATCGGGCTGAAAATAATGATTATTTCATTATTGTTCCCTTGGCCTTTCTAAAGTCCAAAAAAGTGTTCAAATTGTTTATTCCAGTTTTTCAAAGTTCATGGCTCTATCTTTAAGTGTATTTTTTGTCAGTCCAAAAACCTAAGGGAATTCAGTTAAAAAAAATATATAAAACAGAAAATCTGTAAAATCTCCATAATTGAGATACAAATCTGAATACAGTATTTTCTGCTATTTTTGAATGAGAAATTACTTAAACAATTTGTCAAGTTTACATGTTTCATATTCCAATAAGGTCTACATACATAAAAATGTCCAGTGCAACAATAGCAGATTATTTTTTTAATATCTCCAAATAGAAATGATTAAAAACAGAAACTAAAACTGAAATATCAAAGGAGAAATTTGTTTGAATGTTTTCTGTCAGAAGATTGTATACACTTCAATTCTTCTGCACAGTGTTTGGCACTCAGGTCGTTTTAGGGCACCAGTGTTTGTTTGTGTGCGTTTCTGAGCACCTTGCCAGCAGGGTTAACAATACCAGTGAACTGTATTTGTGTGGGAGAAGTGAGAGAATAAGCAAAAGTCTACCTTTTCATGGTTGTATTTATATGAATGTGTGTGAACAACACATGGTTGACATGGGAAAACTGTAGTAACCTGTGTTTGTGTGTGTGTGTGTGATGACATGGGAACACAGGAGCAGGCAGTTCACAGGGAAATGCTTCCTGTTTGCTTCCCCCTTTCCACCAATCACAATTCACTTCCTGTCTGTCTGGCTAGTGAGTAGTGCCCCCTCCATTGCTGTATGCTGACATCCTTTTTCAAATTGATTTATAAAAAGGGCAGCCATTATTCGTTCAGTACAGGCTTTTCTGTTGCCTTTATCTTTTACCTCAAAATAAGGGTTTTCATTCAACTATGTTTCAGAAAAATGGTCAGCTGTAATATCAAATATATTTACAGCAAATGTGACACACACACACACACACACACACACACACACACACACACACACACACACACACCACACACACGATTTTGCTATGCTTGCTTTGCGTTGTTATTGTAAATCCAAGCATTCATTACAAAATGACCAACTATGCAAAACATCTCAAGAAGACAGTGCAAACAGGATTACACTTTGACAACTCATGATATGTAAAATTCAACTCACCGTCTGCAAACATAAGAAAGCAGTAGGAAATGAAAAAAGAGCAAAAAACAAGCAAAATAGACAAAGCATTCATGACAGCATGACAGTTTACTCTCCAGTGCTACGGCTACCTTTCCCTCAAATATTACATTTTAAATTCTTACACTGTATTTCAGTTACCTGACAGACAGTTATGAGGTGGTCTACATATGAACATCAAAATGAAAAGCAGACTGTGACAGCTACGTAACTGACTGACAACACAAACCAAATTTACACAAATGACCCGATGCATTAAAAAAGCACCGTGTGTCAACGGCCCGAAAAATTACTTCTGAGTTTCCACAAACTTTCCTCTCTGGGTGTCACGTTAAGCTAACAACGCTAACACGTGCTTTGTAGCATTAGCTTACCTTTAAGGGCAATAACTTTGCTGGCAGGGTTCATGATGGCGCTGTCTGCGGAGATGGGCCGGCGGATGGGGTTGTTGGGGTCGGCCATGTCGATGATGACCACCTGGGCCTGCTCACCCACCTTCTCTCTGATGCAGATGAACTTATCAGACTCCATGGTCAGAGTGCTGAACCCAATGTTGGCCGGGTTGATTCCCAGGTTCTGGAGCTGAGATATGAACACACGACTTGTTTAAAGAAGCAGCCCATGGAAAACACAGTCCAACGCAAAAAAATCGTGACAATACTTATTAAAAAGGTGTGGTCTTTTAGGTAAATATATTACATATCTTAAAAAGGCATCATCCATAGAATCATTTGAAAGCACTTTTTTTAGACAGAAATACATCATACAAATAGATTGGTGCAGTGATGGCGTGCTTTTGAAGGCCGAGCCGGAAGTTAATATTGCAAGAGTTCCCTCCAAAAAAAGCCAATGGGATTTTTCAATGTGATTTTGGGTTATTGCAAAAAATAATCAAGCGTTTATGATACCAATGAGTTTTGAGGTACAAAGCTAACATTGGGCTATAAAATAAACTATACAGCCTTTGTTTCTGTCTGAAAAGTGTCTTTGGATTGCTTAAAAGATAATTAATTATTATAAGTTATTCCAACTCTGCAATGGATGTCCACATTGGGGCTCTGGTTTAATAACCATTATGAACTGCAGGTATAGATGTGCAGTGCCCTCCTTAAAGACTCTTCTTGTGGTCCTCGTAACAGTTGCATTACATTGATGTGTGTTTCTATTATTCTGTCTATCCCATCTCTATCATTAAGGTTTGGCTAAATAACAGAAAAAAACACTCTCTGTATAAAAATACAAATGTAATAAACTGGAGAATATTGACTTATAGTTAGAGGTCATCCAAGGTGCTGCTTCCTGAATGGTTCATTTCTTACATTTTAGGGAGAACAATAATCACAAATACATCAAGCAGCTGAGATTTTTGATTAAACAGACTATTCCCCATGCCTTGGGACAATTACGGATAACGGTAATTGTGAAGCCGTGTGCAAACGGGGGAACCGGTTTTCGTTTTGATTGAGGAAACCATGAAGATCTTATTTTATTTGTTGAATCTATTTTTATCTGTATCTCCCACAAGGAGTGATTCTCTGAATGAAATTGTTAAATGGTCTAGCAGGCTGCTGCTTGAGTCACAGCTTAACCCAGGGTCCCTCCCTGAACACCACACAGTAATGACCGGCTCTATTTAGATGACTCTTCCCACCCTGTGCACACTGAATTCACTGCTTAGTCCTTCTGATGAAGGTTTGGATTCAGAAAAACTCCCAAATAGTACGTTTTCACTTACAAGGAATTGGCTTTGTAATTATAGAGGATATTTAAATACAGGGAAAGTACAAAGTAAAGAACATAAATATTAAGAATACAAATATCCTTTAGAAATATAACAACCATATAAGAGTCTCCCAACAAAGTAAAAACATATTATTCCAGCAGCCATCACTCGTTGCTGAACATTGCACAGATGCTATAAATGCATTTATTGGATGTATTTGAGTGGTTCATGTTTGTTTATTGTCTGCATAAGTTATTTGTTAAATATGTGACGAGATTGATGCCACGTCTACTTCAAACACATCTACCAACTGTTACGAATTCAGTTAGATGCACCTGATCCGGATACAGGGGTTTTATTAAATTAGGGGGAGGCTGTGGCTCAGTGGATAGTACGCTAGACTTCGAATCAGGGGATAGCAAGTTCGAGTCCCACTGCAGTCAGCATGTCGTTGTGTCCCTGGGCAAAACACTTCACCCCAAAATGCTCCTGTGGGGATTGTCCACAGTATTAAGTATGTAAGTTGCTTTGGATAAAAGCATCTAACAAATGACATGTAATGTAATATAAAACATATGCATCAGTGACATGATGTCTTAACTTAATGGAAGAATAGGTGGACCATGCCTCACCTCCGACAGATGGGAAATAAGATAATATATGTTCCAGGTAAAATCCACTACAGGCCTGTCGTGAAACCACATTACTGAATAATGGCATACGCTTAGTTTGCAGCCGACCACGGTTTCACAGCTACTAGTTAGCTTAATATCACATTAGAGATCCCATGTGATATAATGACTTTATAGCTACATGATAATAAAGGTTGAAGAGGTTTCAATCACACATTTAGATACATGTTTCATACTGTGAAAAAGACCCTAGAGAGATTTAAAATTGATATTGACTTTGGGAAAAACTATACAACTTCAGCAGGAGGACACTTTTATAAACTTTAAGGGTGATGGATTTGATACAAATATTGTAACTACTTGTTGACATTAACAAGAAGAAATGGACTGTCTCTAAATCAAATTTTGCAGATTTGTACTAGAATTACAAGAATATGGAACCACTATTAAAAAGAAAAGAACCAAATGTGTATTTGATAAATATTTTTACTTGAAATGTGCCCTTTTGTATTTAATCACAATTGTATTTATATGTTCCTATTTTAATTTTTTAAGATAGGTTAAAAGATAAGATTTATAGACTGATACTTTATTGATCACAATTTGGGAAAATAAAATCACCACAGCAGCATAGACAATACATTGTATAAATTACAAGTAAATAATATACAATCAACAATAAAGCTAAATATATCGGCAGTAGAAGATAAACAATATACGCCAAACAGTGAATATATGCATGACAATAATGAAAGATGTATATATATATTGAATACACAATATAAATATACAGAATATAATGTATCTCTGTACATGTACCCCTGATGTCAATCTGTTATGTGTATATAATGTTTGATGTACATATATATTTTATATATAATAAAATAAAAGAATAAGAGAGAAAGAGGGAAAATATGACAGCTACATCAGAGCAGATTAGCATTTAGCAGACTGAATACATCTCTAGTGACGTGAATGCAACATCACGACCCATCTACTGTAACGATAGCTAATATACCTAATGTTTGCTAAGCTAAATGTAGCCATGTAGATATCAATAACACAAGAACTACACACTGAAGGTCATGGAAGCCTGTTTAATGTAAGTATTATCCCCCTGTCCGTCGATGACAGCTAACCTCGGCTAGCGTAGCAACAGCATCAGTGCAATGAATGAGAGATGCTAGCCGTTAGCTACTGACTAAACGGGGGAGGGGAGGTCATTCATTTGCTGCGGGTTTTGAACTGAAGATAACTGAATACACCGTTCATTCCTATGAGAGTCGCTCAGTGGCGTATGAAGCCCAAAATAAAACGACTGTAGATTCAGAAGGTACCCGTACGCGGGCCCACAGAGCATGCGCAGTTGAGTTTCCCTCAAGCACCGCCTCCGATCTCCCTCCCTCTGCCCAGTCAAATGAATGGGGAGCGAAAATAACACTGCATTCAGCTTTGAGCGCATTTTACAACTTTTAGACCCAGGTCATTCAAATGAGAGCTATACAAAGGTTCGTGCTTGGTAGTTTATTTAGCTAAAAATAAAATTACACGCTGATTTACAGACGTGTCTTTCCCAATGCAATTCAACGAGAAAAAGTATTTTTGGGCCAACGTGACGTCAGGGAAGCTGTAGTACCACCGTGTGTACACTATGACCATTCCAAAAATTGTCTTCAACAGCCGGCGCACTTCCTTCCTGGGGGTTTGGTATTGACGTTAGCTTAGCTAGCTAGCTGTCAAATGGCAGCTAAGCGGGTACAATTAAGATATAACGATAACGTTTGTTATGTGTTCACACATTGCTATAAAGGTTTGCTAACATACCTGCAGGTGCTCCTGGAAGCGGATAGGTAGGATTTGAGCCATGGTGAGGGTTTCCTTTTAGCTTCTCCTCCTCCTGAAATCCTAGCCGTACAGCTAGCTATGCACCGCTACTAGCTTCGACCTCCTCACTGTGTAGGTCGGAGCCAGTCAGTGAAAACAAAAAGACACGATAAAAGGTAAAATACGGTGTTGGTGATCGTGTTTCCGGAATCTGCTATTGGTAAAAAATGTTAGATATGTCCCCCTTCTGTGAGTGCTTCCTGCCCTGCATCGATGGATAGCAGTGGCTGATCTTCTGTCCGAAATCCGCAATGGCGGCGGAAAGAGCCTGCTTCAGTCCGGAAGCATCCAGGGAGCTCTGGAAGGACACTGGTCCCTGAACGCCCCTGGGTTAAGGATGGAGGGGTTTCATAATTTATTATTTTTAACATAAGAATAATAAATACACTATCTGTGTTGTTTCTTATATTTGTAAGAATTTAACAGGAGTTTATCCTCCTTAAACGAACCGCATACATCGCCCATGTGCGTCAGTTCCGTTACAATATAGTACATTACATTAAAAATAAATAAATGGCATCTAGTTCTATTACATTAAAATAAATAAATATCATCCAGGAACAATTTAGTTTAGCTTCCTTAAAACACACCGCATAAATCGCCTTTGTGTGTTAATTCAGTTACAATTGAGTAAATGCATTTAAATAAATAAATAAAAACGTGACAGCGTGATGTTTTAAAGCATCAGTCCAACTAATGTTATTAGAAAAAACATTAATTTCATAAAGAAACACATGCATATGGTCAAAATCAGTAAACCCACGCCATTCAATTTTAGTCACTTAGATTTGTTTTTACTACTTGTATTTATATTTACACTATTTCTATAGTTTTGGTTTACACGTTTGTTCTTCCTAGAACTGCAACGATAGGTCGATCATAAGTAAAATATTTATCTATTTTGATGATTAATCATTACTAAAATAAATTATGCAAAGATTACAGAAAATGCGTTTTTTAGGAAACTTCTTACTTGAAAATCTTTCAATTTTGAGTTGGAAAAACAAGAAACTTAATGCAGTGGACATTTCATTGACCAAACGAGTTGACCAGATTAATCAATGATGAAAATAATCAACCCTAATTACTGCACTTTGTTTGCACATAGCTCTGCACCTGAATTGATATATGGATGTTTGCACAATATTGTTCCGCTGCACTGCACTGTATACAGATGTTAATAAAGTCAGAAATTCAGTCAGTTCAAATTAGTACACAGTCTTTTAAATCCATGACAGCATGTTGTTAAAGCTACAGGCAACCCTTTTGAGGAAATGTTAGTTTGAAAAACACAAACAAGCAAACAGCCAAAGTTAGTGAAACCAGGCAATTAAACGCATTTTTTTATAAAAAAGAAAATCACTTTTTTTTGTCAAGTTGTGGGTATTTTTGGGACAATAATACTTTAACATTTCCAAATGTAAGGATGTTAAGTCAGTCAGCACATTTTTATTGTCTAGAATTAAGTCATGTGAAACACAGCTGAAATTGTTACAGAAGTTAAAATAAATTTGTTTTGAATCTAACAAAAGAAAACGTGCATATCATTTTTAATCAGTCTTTAATTTAAATGCCTCGCCTTAACAGGAGTTTTCATTTAAGTGCAAGTTTGTGCAGTACAGCCCTCGTCAATTCATAGAAAATGTATTATAATTCAAAGAAATCTCAAAGCAGGAAGCAAAAGATGACTCAAGACAAAGAAATGCATTTCAAGAAGCAGCTGTATTCGACTATAAAGACATTTCTAATCCAGTGTCTCTAAGCTGTTCTCTTAATATTTCAGTGTAAAAAGCCTAGACTCTATTAGAAAAAAGAAAACCCAAAATAACATTTCATAAGAAGAACAATCATTGAAAAAGAAAGGAAAAAGAAAATCCCCATTCACCAGTCATTTCAATTAAAATAGAAACACCATTTTATTTTTGCTAACATTTTCCCTCAAAACAAATATATATTTTTCCTTATATATATATATTTATATATTTATTCTCAAGGCAGTTGGTCATGGCCAAATTAATTGACCTCATCATGGCCGTTTGTCATGTTTTTTAAAGTTAGAAAACATAGCTAGAATGGAAGAAAAAGAAACTAGCGGGAGCACAGTGAGGGAACACTGCACCGGCCGACACATATCTCATGTTGAGTGAGAGGGAATAGTCTGTCAAGGCAGCGTGGCACACAGACACACTTCCTCTGGAACAAGTGCAATACATTTCTCACACATCACAAAACTACAACACACTCCTCTTTCACAGCACTCCGTAAGATTCCCTTTGCTTGTCTTCTCCTCGTCCTCTCATTTCTCTCGCAGCAGTGAAGGCTTGTTGTGCTGTTTTTTAGTCCACTTTGACGGAGACACACTGCAGCAGTCAGGGAGTCTCTGATCCGTCCTCCATTGTTGTTTTCCACCCTCCAACTACCATTACAGACTAACCACAGACGTCTGATGTGAGCTATCTGCAGCAGTGTTTGAGGTTAGACAATTGTTCGCCAACTGAGAAAAAAATTAAAGGATCCCAGCATCTTGTTATTACAGTAAAAACGTGACTGATACATCGTCCCTGAATACTGAAGACTGCTCTATCAGTAGATGGTGATAGCAGAAGGGAGAAGACACAAGTAGCAGGGTTTCTGCAGAAAAGAGGGTTGTTATGATGAGTGTACATGATGGCAAAATGTGGCTGTAGCTATGTGCTCTGAATGGGATGAACAGAAAATCACGAGAGGGGACAGGATGAATGAACAGGGGCAGGGGATGGGATGCATGGGACCACCGTCGCAATTTTGTTTAGAGAGGGAGGATGAAAAGTGCCGGATGGCGACGTGAGGAAGTTCCCTGGGATACATGAAGTGAATATGCACGATGCACTTGTAAGCATGTTTTTTGTGTGAGGGAAAAGAGAAGATGTGTAGGAGGAAAGAGAGAAATCCCTGGGCTACATGGGAGGGCGCATTAGAGGAGAGGTCCCCAACTACCTCCATCCATCACACCCTCCCTCACACCTGAGCACCAGCAGGACTATGTGCTTCTCTTCTGCAGCTCCTGAACGAAGGCTGGCGGAGAAGAGGAGGAAACAAGTATTTAGTACCCAAAATACTGTATTTTGAAGATCAATAAAAAAAGACTTTTTAATGCAAATAATCCTTACCTCCGATAATTTCTTCCTTGACTTTTTGTAGTTCTTTCCGCACCTCCTCCAGGATTTCCTGCAAACAAATGGATTGTCAGTCATGGCACAGTTACTAGTGATCTGAGGCCTGTACTACAAATGGGGGAGAGAGAGTGTGGGAGAGAAACTGTTGCTAGGCTGATGAGGAACTCACCTGTTTCATTTTCTCTAAATCCGAGTCTTCCATTCCCCCAGCATCGTTACCGTTGTTGCCAGCAGGCTTCGGCCTATTAGAAGACAAGAGACACAGAAACAGAGAATTATTTATTTAAGTTTGTGTTTCAGAAAAACAAGAAGAAGCCAAGACGGTCCATGGCACTGCATTGACAACGAGCACCTCACCAGTAGTAGTAACAGAGCGATGACGGAAAAGTGAGTAGAAAGTTGTCCACAAACCAGAGAGGCCAAGCCCTTCTGAACTGATAGCAATTCAGAAATGAACACCCACCGAGAAAAAAAAGGAGGACAGCATCGACGCCAGCGCTCAGAAGTGACATTAACCATTAATCACACCATCAGGCCGATTTTCCTTTTTCAGCCATGACACGCCCGGCTGGAAAACCTACGAGTCCCCTGGGTGCATGCTACTCTCTGATCCATTAGATGGTGCCATCCTCTCTGGAAAATGCTTATGTCTACTTACCAGCAATGAGAACCCAGAAATGTTGAGTAGTTTTTTGTTAGATATGAATAGAAAGAGTCCCCAACATTTAAAAACTGAGAGATGCTAACTTGCATATGTTGGGCAATTTGCACAATTAGCATAGGTTGCGTTACTTAGCATTCATTTAAATAGTGAACAGGATACCTACTGGTCTACAAATATGGCAATTTACTGTTTCAATCTGCCGTTTTTTTATGCTGAAAATACCAGAAAAGAATTCAGCTTGCTCAATAACCCCCATAACCTCCAATATCGTCCAAATTGGCCAATCCATTTTTGATTGTCCATATAAGCTATAATGCTAATTAACATCCAACATGGGGCTGCTCAATTAATCGTATTTTAAATCGCAATTACGATTATGGCTTGCAACGATTACGAAAACAACGTAATCGAAATAAAACGATTATTTTTTTATTATTACTTTTTTATTTTTTTGTTTTTTCAGTTGAAGTATACTTAAAGTTCAGGGTTATCAACTGTTACAAATATACTGTTCCATTTTTTTTTTTCCAATAAATGGATGTTTTCAAAGTAAATGGATAATCGTTTTTAATAATCGTGATATCAATTATTGACCCAAATAATCGAGATTATGATTTTTGCCATAATCGAGCAGCCCTAATCCAACATATGCAAAATAGCGAGCAGCAGTTCCTAAATGCTGTTCACCCGTACTGGACATTTCTAACATGAAACTTTGTGTAACTCAACATTTCCAGTTTCACAATAGGACTCTTTGAGCGGTCACATAGACAAGATGCTGGGCTAACCTGAAAATAAAAGCACGGGGAGCTAAAGCCATGAGTGAAAAGGGGCAGCATGTATACCTGGAACCTTGGGACAATGAGGGGGTGGAGTCCATGCTCTTGGCGACGGAGTTATTCCTGTTAGTGAGACACACACACTCCTCTTAGAATGAAAATGGAAGACACACAAAAAGCTTGACAAAGACGCATGTTCACACACTCGCACAGATGGACTCTCAGGGTGAGAAACACCTGACACCTGCGGGGAAAGGATTTACTGCATGGAAATATGTAAAGGCTGAATTACCTGATCATAGACGACTTCTCCCAAGGTCTTCTCAGGGTGTCTGGGAAGGATATGCAAAGAAAACAAAGGTCAGATTCTTTTCCGAAGGAGTGTATGTGGTCTACAATTTATTCCCATTTGTCATTTTGTTTCTTTGCTTGTATGGACTATGTAGATACAGCTGAATGGAAATAGAAAGCCGTAGACAAACGTGTGAATATGTCTGTATAATGAAGCAGCAACTAAAATAAAGTGAAAAATAAAAAAAATAAAAGGGTTCAGTTCTCACCGCTTTGACCTTGAGGCTCTGAATCATCCTGTAAAAATAAATCAGACTGAGTCATCCTCATCATGCCGCTTCTATTTTATAAATATCAGCTACAGTGTCAGGCTATATCAAAAAACACATTTGTTTAATATTTGCAGGTACAAAAATAAATGCCATCTCTTACATTTTCTTGTGGCTTTGCTGCCGGCTTGTCCAAAGTATCTGTAGCTTTTCTCCTAATGAGCAGAGGAATCAGTTGAGTTGAAACACCACACAGACTTGGACACTACATGCAGCACTTCAGTAGGATTTGTATGCAACAAATAAACAAGTCTTATTTAATCAGTGTGGGCATTGTGTATTTTATCTAACCTTCGTGCTAGGATGGCACTCATTTCTCCCATCAGACCTCCTCCTCCTCCTCCTCCTCCACCCCCCCCTCCCCCGGAGGTGCTGCCGCGGCTGGAGTCAGCTCGGCCAATCGGAGCTGCAGGAGCTCCGTCCTCCTGCTGAGGGCAGCAAACAGCAGAGAAGAGTTCAGCAAGAGGTGTGTGTGTGTGTGTGTGTGTGTGTGTGTACCTCTCGGCCAGGCCTCTCTTGGTCAGGCCGGATATAGTGATGGGGTCGAAGGGCTCCTCGGTGCCTGATATGGTGATGCCCAGAGGGCCCCCGTACCTCTTCAGCTCCACTGTGTAGATGATGCTGCCCGAGGTCTCCTGCTCATCTGACACACACACACACACACACACACACACACACACACACACACACACACACACACACACACACACACACATACATACATACACAAATGCTCTCTTTCCAGAAGTAGGTCAAACTGTTCCCGAACTAACAC